CCAAAATAATCTCTCTTTTTAACATATTTTTTCAATAGATTGGCGTTTCATACGCATGGAGTTTCTAATTTCTAATTGACATGAAACAGTACTGAAATTTGTAGCAATTTTGTGAAATTTGGCGCAGGTAGCTGAACCACAAGTTGCTAGTTTATGCTTGGAGGCTCAAGACTGCATGATTGCTGGCAGATGGTTCGATTTGGCTTCACTGATGCTTACTTCGGCTGATTTGGTATTTCCTAAAGCTTCGGATAAAGGTTAAACTCACTCTGGTGATTCACTTTCATGATTCTTTATTTCTTACATGTCGTTGTGGTTGTAAATTGTAATTATAACACACCGTTGTTCCTGATCATGCTAGGTTAAACTCTGAATCACATTTGAGTTGTTTTCATTCGATTTTTATCACATTACATAACATAAATCTGCAATACCTATTAAGATCATCAACATCGTCTCTGTTTTAATCTGGCTTTTGTTTGTCCTTTAAGATCTTGAGTGCATCTTCACCATCATCTGCAATCTTGTCAAGAAGCCTGAAAGCCTTGATGAAATGTTAGAGATGGCAAAGCTTTTATCCACAAAAGTTGCACAACAACCAAATGATAAGCCTGCAATCCGATTGAAGATGTAAGCTCCACTCATAATCATAAACAACTTAACAAGTAGTATCTGATTATCTGTAACATTTTGTAACATTTTCTCATGTCTATTGTCTACCTTTCTCCTATATTCAGTTTGTTCAATCTCTACAACCTGTTAGAGAACCCTTACAGTCGATTCTACGTATACATGAATGCCCTTAAATTGGCAATGAATGGAAAGGTCATAGAACATATCATACCATCTTTTAAAAAGATAGACAGTTTCTTAAAAGAATGGAATCTCGGAGTTCATGATCAAAGAGAGCTTTTCTTGACAATCTCTAATATCTTAAAGGAACACAAAAGGTACTCCACGTAGTTTCTACATTCATTCCTTTGATTTCTCTTTAATATTCCAATTTGTTTACTAAATTCAGCTCCCCAAAAGAAACCTTCAAGTTCTTAACAAAGTATCTTGCAACATTTTCTGATGAGGATGCACATACTATGGAGGAAGCAAAGGAAGAAGCTGCTTACACTATCATTGAATTTGTCAAATCACCTGACATGTTTCAGGTATTATATAATAATTATATAATATTATAAAAAAAAGTTAAAAAAGGGATATTTTTAAAATATGACAATCTTCTTGTTTAATAACATGGCAGCATGATTTGCTTGATATGCCTGCTGTAGCACAATTGGAGAAAGACACCAAATATGCATTAATATATCAACTTCTCAAGATCTTTTTGACTCAAAGGCTAGATGCTTACATGGATTTCCACACTGCAAATTCTGCATTACTAAATAGTCATGGTAATTACAAATTACAATCATCCCATTTTAATTTCTAGGGGTAAATTTGTCTTTTTGCCACCGTTTGTTACCGAAGATGGAACAGAACAAATCTCAATGGGACAAAAATTACAAATTTTATTTCCCACCCATAAAAGGTTGAACAAGCTGGGACATGGGCTTGATCTCAATCACTTTTTTGTGCAAAAGACGTAAATGCCCTTCTCTTGTGTAGGTATTGTACATGAAGATTGTATAGCAAAGATGAGGTTGATGTCAATTGTGGATCTTGCCTCAAAAGAATCTGGCCAAATTCCTTATCATATGATAAAGGACACTCTACAGGTAAACCTACCTACCTACCCCCCCCCCCCCCCCCCCACCCCAATGTATCTGTTATTAAAATGGGGTTACTTGCAGATTGAGGATGATGAGGTGGAGCCATGGGTAGTAAAGGCAATCACTGCTAAACTGATTGATTGTAAAATTGATCAAATGAATCAAGTCATTAGAGTAACGTAAGTAAAAACCTTTTATCGTTTTATTATTATTATTATCTATGGTAAACAGGTCATCACGCTTTCAAAATGTACACTATTGGCCCAGATTTTAATTTTTATTACAAATTTGATCTGAAGTTAACACTTTTGGCCCAGGTTTCAAAAATTTGTTACAAATTCATCCTAAATTTAGTTATTTTACATATTTTTTTTTTCAAAATTTTGTTTCGAATATTCTATTTTTTCTTTGTGAAATCATATTTTGCGAAAACAACTTAGATATTATGTTATTGTTACCAAAAAGGTCACCAAATAAAGCAAAAATATGTTTTTTTTGGTATAAATATGATTTTATAAAGCAAAAATAACATATTTCAAACAAAATTTTGAAATCTAGGCCAAAAGTGTAAAATTTTGACCAAGTTTGTAATAAAATTTAAAATCTTGGCTAAAAGTGTAAATTTGAAAATGTGGGATGACCTATTGACCGGGTAAAAGGGTCAAAATGAATACAATTACTGGTATTCGAAACTAAAAAAAAATACAGGGACTTAATTGAATATGAGGTCAAAATACAGGGACTTTATCGTAGATATCTCATCTTTTATAACTAATATATATTATTTTACATATTTTTGTAGTCGATACACAGAGCGTGTTTTTGGGCAGCAGCAGTGGCTATCTCTTAGGGACAAGCTGGCAACATGGAGGGTAAATAAATATTTTTATTGTGACTTTTCTAAATAAATATTTTCTTTTTGTTTTATTTTTTATATATTTACAAACTTTATGCTTTCAGGGTAACATATCAAATGTGATAACAACAATTCAAGCAAACAAGGTAACCGAAGATGCAACACAAGCAATCCAAGGTTTGGCAATTCGTTGAAATTTTGCTTCATTTTATCAAAACTCCCAAGACATTTCAATTCAAGATTCAAGAACAAAGGTGCGCACACAAAAAACTCGTGTTCTTATTGCTTTCAATTGACATTTTAAAAAGTTTTGTTTGTAGTAGCTAATTCATTTTAACTTGTAGTTTGTATTTTTTTTTGTACTGTGTGATGAGGAATTTTGCATCAAGGAAAGATATTTTGCTACTTTTAGTTATGGCTTCTAGCTCCATATGCTTATTGATCTTGAATTTGAGTTTGAGTTTTATAATTACATTAACATGGAATATATTTTTAAGTAGAGAATACACAAAAAATATCCTTATTTGCTTTAGTTGCTGGTTGAGTCGGATATGATTGAATCAGACACAACTTCTTTCTAGACCGAGTAAAAGCTTATTATATCAGGGACTATCTCACCGAATCGGGCTTCTAATTGTGGTATTAAACAGTTTAAATCAGACCGAGTAAACTCAACCTCTTACCGATAAGAGGCATATCAAACAATCTATTTGCCCTAAAAGCTTATTAGATACTATCACACCAAATCAAAGACTTCTAATTGTGGTATCAAACGGTTTAAATCAGACAGAGTGGACTCAACCTCTTACTAGTAAGAGGGAGGCATATCAAACAATCTGTTAGCCCTAAAAGCTTATTGGAACTTATCAAGACTATCAGACCGAATCAAAGACTTGTAATTGTGACATTTAAATAAGACCGAGTAGACTCAACCTCTTACTAGTAAGAGGCATATCAAACAATCTGTTAGCCCTAAAAGCTTATTAGAGACTATCAGACCGAATCGAAACGATTTAAATCTGAAGCAAACTCAACTTCTTATTGGTAAGAGACATATCAAAGAGTCTGTTAGCCCTAAAACAAATACTCAATACTCCTAGGGTTCCATATGGTTTCTAAAATGAATAGACAGACTAAATAACACATTTACCATTGAATTGCAACATAAATTTCAAAATATTAGATATTAATTTTGAGGCACTAGTTATCATCTGTATGGGGCATGATGATTTTCTATACGCAAGAGTTTTTCTGATCCAAGTATGTTTAATGATGAATCCAACCATTATAGTCTTAATAAGTTAAAATTGTGATATCATAATTAAAAGAAAAAGATGTTAATAATGTCGTTTGTATTTATCCCAGTGAACATGAGATCAAGAACATTTAGGGGACATGTGAGGAGGGTCCAGTTTAATAAAATTATTAAGATATTTTCATTGTAAATACAAAATAACTTTTGTTATTCTAAAAAAAATGAATGGTTTATAGGAAACTAACTAAACAAGTTTTTAAAGAAAAATAACAATTTTTTAAAATTTTTTGAAAAATAACCATTTTATCCTGAATGTTTTGTTCTTGATATTTTTTTTAATTTTTTTTCACAATTTTTTTCCAAAAAAAATCCATCTGTTTATGTCCGAAATGTCTATTTTATAGTGTTGTTTTTCAATCAAAAGTCTTATTTTAAGCTATTATATCGTAAATATTTCATATTTATTATGTTAGTTTAACATTTTGTTAGATTTTTTTTTGAAATCCAAGATTTTGGTATGGAATTCAGACTGTAAGTCCGAAATTTATTTTTTTGTTAAGAAAAAGTCTGTCGGTTAGGAATGCTAATTTCCGGACTTCATGGTTTTTTTGCAAAAAAAAAAAGAAAAAAAAAAGAAAGAAAGAAAAAAAAATAGTTTTTTGGTTATTTCCTTTAAATTATGGTTAGTTTAGTTACTTAACCATGATTTACTCTTTTATTTTTAACGTTTAAAATTGAAATTAACCAAACCAGATATATCCTATTTCATTTCAATTTTTTTAATAGATTAAAAATAACTATACCATCTTATCAAATAAGAAAAATACCGTGTTTGGATTGATCATAATTTAACAAAATATTGAAATCAAACACATAGATAACTTGAATGAAACCATTTAAAAAACAAAAACTTGTCGACTACAATACAACAAAGTATTTTGGTTCATAATATGATAGTACGATAACATTTTATAAAAAGAAAAGGAATGAGACAAACAGTTGCCTTTTCTATGGGGAAAATAATTCAAAGGAGCTTGAATCAGAATCACACATTAAATTCTAAATCATTATCTTGAATAGAGTAATAAACAGTGAAGACTAAAAACACAACCCATTTGAATTCCTTCATATACATTAAGAAAACCAACACAATTTCTTACTCAAAATCATGGTTTCAAGAAGCACCAACTTCGTCTTCTTCACTTGTCTCATCTTTCTACCATCAATCATCAACCTCTGTGAAGGATTTGCCATTAGTCACTGCAATGGCACCATGGAAGAATGCTCAACATTAATGGAGGAGGATGAAGAGTTCTTAATGGACACTGAAGAACATAGGCGAATTCTGACTGGAAATACGAATATTATTTATAAAAGTCTACAAAAACCTCCCGTTTGCGACCCAAAACACTGTGAAGGATTGTATAATGTAAGGAAAGATAGAGGGTGTGTTAATTATTGCAATAAAGGAGGTTAATGAGTGGTTCATATAATCATATGTATGCATCCTTGCTATTATGGAAAGTATTTGAAGTTTGTGGTGTTAGATTGTGTTTCTTGTTGATCAATAATAGCTTTCTTATAATAATCTGTTTATGTATTCATTAGATTTACTAATTGATGTGAAAAAATAGAAATAACTGATATGCTTATGTAAAACTGTTTATTCATTTGCTTCTATTTCTTTGTGAATGTACCTTTGCTTGTGCTTTTTGCAAGAACTCAGAATCTTGCTACTTTTCTATGGTTTTTGTGTGCGGAAGAGATTTGCTAATTCTCGTTTGTTCCCAAAGTAGATGGCTTATGAATATTGGTGTGAGAGAGATTAAGGTGGTGTTTGTTTTTTTTTTTTTTTTTTTTTTTTTTTTTTT